CTCTATCTTTGCTTTTATTTTCTGTGACGAGGGCATGAGATTGATCTCCACCCATTTCTTTCTTTCTTGCCTCTTCACTAAATAAAGCATCTGTAACCATGCTCATGGTCAGTTTCCCTTCTGGGGCAGAGTTGCTGAGGGACACCACCAAGGTCTCCCAACTGTCTGGTAAAGAACTGAGCAGCAATAAGGCCTGCATCTCATCATCTAACTCCATTTTGACAGTTGTTAGTTGGTTCGCCAAATTTTGAAACCCACTGGTGTGTTCAGCAACAGAGATACCGCCTTTCAACTTCAAATTCACAAGTCTTCTCATCAGGAGGGCTTTGTTCCGAGCAGTCTTCGACTGGTACATGCCTTCTAACTTTGTCCAGAGAGCATAGGCATCAGTCTCCTGGACGACATGGTGGAAGACACTGTGATCAATCCATTGTCTGATCTGGCCAATGGTCTTTCGGTTCTTCCGCTTCCAGTCTTCGTCTTTTTCCGTTGGTGGTTTAATTCCATTAAGCTCAATAGGGTCAAACAAATCTCGGCAATACAAGACATCTTCCATTCTGGGCTTCCAAATGGCATAATTGGAAGCATTTAACTTTATCATGGAACCTGAAGTCGACGTTGATTCCTCCATCATACAAAAATGATCTTTGGCTGAAAAACAAGTTTTGCTATGGAGTCCGGACTGGTCAAATTAGCCGAAAAAACACTTCGGATTGTCAAAAGAAAGACGGCAAATTTTTGAAAGCTTATTTGCAAAATCTGACCGTACGGATGTGTCCGGAATACTCCAAATAGTCGAAAACCACTATTGGATCACCAAAAACGGACTCCAAATGGCTTCGATCTAGCCAAAACATTTTGTACGCCTCAGATCTGCGGCTGTACCTTCGCCGCAAAGCACTGGATCCTTCCCTGCCTCTGGTTGACGGGGCAGACACGTGGCATACCTTTGTTGACGTGTCGCCACGTGTTGACGACGTGGGACGCTGACGCGGCCTGTACGTGTTCCAGGAACGTGGGTGGACACGCGCTGCCTGCCCACTCGTCTTCTTCCTTCTTCCGCGCGTGGGTGAGATTGGGACCACGCGTCGGGTGCCTGCACGGCGCGTGTGGGCGCGTGACGCAACTGGGACTCACGTGCCAACTTCCAGAGGCGCGTGAGGGCGCGTCCGGCCTCCGTTGGGTGTCTGCTTTATATTTCTGGACTCCTCTCGTCGAGCCCTTGCTCCTAGTATGCTCAAAATCTGATTTCAAGCAATACGATTTCTGGGCAGTTTCGGAACAACACTCTGTTTTTCCGAAAAAGACTCAACCTGCTCTGATACCACTTTGTTAGGATCAAACACACCCAGAAACAATTATCTCACACACACAGAGAACATAATATTTACGTGGTTCGGCCCAATGCCTACATCCACGGACAGAAACGAGAATTTTCACTAAAATGGAGCAAAAATACAAATACAGAGGAGGAGATGAAACTCACTCAACTCACAGCTCTCACTCTCCAATTTCTGATGATCTATAACCCCTCCTCACTCATCTCAATTTATAACCAAGAGAGGAGGAGTAGGTGAGGTGATAGCCATAATTGGCCAAGGTGGTGCTACCTTCACTATCTTCCTTTAGTGAGTTGGTGTTGCCCTCCACCAGCTTCTTTTACCACATGGTGCCACCCACACCATGTGGATGGTGGGCTCCTGTCAGGAACAGTCTTCTCATGCCGGATGCCGTGCGTAGCACAGTAGGCTTTAAATTCCTTTGATGTGTACTCGCCTCCATTGTCTGTTCGGAGACATTTCAGCTTCTTTTCAGTCTCCCTTTCCACCATAGCATGGAATGTCTGAAAATGCTGGAACACCTCAGCTTTGGTCTTTAAGACATAAACCCATACCTTCCGTGATGCATCATCTATGAACGTTAGAAAGTATTTTCTACCACCCAAAGATTCCACTTCAATGGGACCGCAAACATCAGAGTATACTCTGCTCAACAACTCTGATTGTCTTCTGGATGATGAATGGAAAGCTACTCTATGATGCTTCCCAAACAAGCAGTTGTCACAAGGATTTAATTTTGCATCTTTGGCAAAGGGAATAAGTGACTTCTTTGCCAAAATCTGTAACCCTTTCTCACTCATGTGACCCAGCCTTTTGTGCCACAAATTTGGTGACGTCTCATCTTCTGCTGCGTTGAGACTATTTGAATTCACCTCCACATGAGTCTTGTATAGTGTGCCAATTGCCTGTCCTTTGGCTACCACGAGAGATCCCTTTTTCAACTTCCATATGCCTTTGCCAAAGTAGTTCTCATAGCCTTGTCGATCTAAGGCTATCCCTGAAATAAGATTCAGGCGTAAATCGGGAACATGCCTGACATCTTTCAACACCATCGTGCACCCAACTTTGGTTTGGATATGAACATCACCAATTCCCACAATTTTTGAAAAACTGGAGTTACCCATTTTCACTGTACCAAAATCTCCAGCTTGGTACGTACTGAAGAACTCCTTTTGGGATGTAGCGTGGTAGGAAGCTGCTGTATCTACCACCCACTCGGTGTCGTTGTCTGACATATGGAGGCATTCTTCTTCTTCAACAGAGAATAATGCAATATCCTCTGAGACAGAAACTGCAGTGGTCCCATCTTCGGTCTTTGGCTGTCTATTGCCTTGTTGTTGTTCTCCCTTCAAGGCATAGCAATACTTCTTTATGTGACCCTCCTGGCCACAATGGTAACATTTGAACCTTGGCCGGCTCGTTCCTTCTTTGAATTTCCCTCTGTCTTGAGATCTTCCTCTGCTGCGTCCTCTACTTTTGCTTCTTCCCCTGCCCCTGCCTCTGCTTTTATTTTCTGTGACGAGGGCATGGGATTGATCTCCACCCATTTCTTTCTTTCTTGCCTCTTCACTAAATAAGGCATCTGTAACCATGCTCATGGTCAGTTTCCCTTCTGGGGCAGAGTTGCTGAGAGACACCACCAATGTCTCCCAACTGTCTGGCAAAGAACTGAGCAGCAATAGGGCCTGCATCTCATCATCTAACTCCATTTTGACAGTTGTTAGTTGGTTCACCAAATTTTGAAACTCACTGGTGTGTTCAGCAACAGAGATACCGCCTTTCAACTTCAAATTCACAAGTCTTCTCATCAGAAGGGCTTTGTTCCGAGCAGTCTTCGACTGGTACATACCTTTTAACTTTGTCCAGAGAGCATAGGCATCAGTCTCCTGGGCGACATGGTGGAAGACACTGTGATCAATCCATTGTCTGATCTGGCCAATGGTCTTTCGGTTCTTCCGCTTCCAATCTTCGTCTTTTTCCGTTGGTGGTTTAACTCCATTAAGCTCAATGGGGTCAAACGAATCTTGGCAATACAAGACATCTTCCATTCTGGGCTTCCAAATGGCATAATTAGAAGCATTTAACTTTATCATGGAACCTGAAGTTGATGTTAATTCCTCCATCATAAAAAAATGATCTCTGGCTAAAAAATAGGTTTTGCTGTGGAGTCCGGACTGGTCAAATTAGCCAGAAAAACACTTCGGATTGTCAAAAGAAAGATGGCAAATTCTTGAAAGCTTATTTGCAAAATCTGACCGTACGGATGTGTCCGAAATATTCCAAATAGTTGGAAAAGCACTATTGGATCACCCAAATCGGACCTCAAATGGCTTAGATCAAGCCAAAACGGATTGAATGGCTCAGATCGGCAGAATCTGGTACAGCTGAGAAGCACCATATTATTTCTCCGGTTCGGCTGGCGTCGGGATGACGTCAGCGGCTCGGTCAACGGCTTTGGCTTGGTCAACGGCTCCGATTCGGCTCGGCTGAAGACGTCGGCTGGCGCGCGCGCGTGCGGCTCGTGTATGCGCATGAACTCACGCGTCTTCTTCCTCTGAAAGCGCGTGAGGTGCGTGGGTGAGATTGGGACCACGCGCCGGGTGCCTGCACGGCGCGTGTTGGCACGTGACGCGACTGGGACTCATGCGCCAACTTCCAGAGGTGCGTGAGGGCGCGTCCGGACTCCGTTGGGTGTCTGCTTTATATTTCTGGACTCCTCTCGTCAAGCCCTTGCTTCTAGTATGCTCAAAATCTGATTTCGAGCAATACGATTTCTGGGCAGTTTCGGAACAACACTCTGTTTTTCTGAAAAACGTACAACACCGGCTCTGATACCACTTTGTTAGGATCAAACACACCCAGAAAAATATCTCACACACACAGAGAACACAATATTTACGTGGTTCGGCCCAATGCCTACATCGACGGACAGAAATGAGAATTTTCACTAAAATGGAGCAAAATACAAATACAGAGGAGGAGATGAAACTCACTCAACTCACAGCTCTCACTCTCCAATTTCTGATGATATACAACCCGTCCTCACTTATCTCAATTTATAACCAAGAGAGGAGAAGTAGGTGAAGTGATAGCCATAATTGACCAAGGTGGTGCCACCCTCACTATCTCCCTTTAGTGAGTTGGTTGGTGATAGTGGGGGTAATAAGAAGATGAAGAACGTGTAGGTGGTTGAGGGGCGGTGGTGGAAGGGGTAGAGTGAAAAGTGAAGAGATGGGAAGAAGAAAGACAAGTGGCGAGGCAATGGGTAGATGGTGGTGGAGGTCACAGGAGCAGTGGGTGGATGCCACACTAGCAACTCTTGCTGCCATCTTCTACAGCCAAACCTCCATCTCTCTCTCTCTCTCTCTCTCTCTCTCTCTCTCTCTCTCTCTTTAGATCTATGAAATCAATGTTTTGAAGCCATTCTTACTTGATCCTCATTGGTAGAGATTCAGAGAGAGGCATTCTGACTTGATCCTCATTTACTGAAATCAATGTTTTAAGGCATTCTTACTTGATCCTTAAGCTCCAATGGCTGCGAATAGTCTACTTTGTTTCTGAACTTTAATCGGTACTCTCTCTCTCTCTCTCTCTCTCTCTCTCTCTCTCTCTCTCTCTCTTTCGAATTTTACTGCATGTATAACATTTGTATACATCAATAACATTCTTGCTTATATTTTTCTCTGAGCTAGGGGACAAAACCTTATTTATTGCGGTAAGGGAGAATTTATCAAATTTTTCATGGAATGTATCTGATCATGAATGTTTCAAATCAGACTCTGTGAATTAATTGAATGAACATGCTTGTGTATATTGTGTATGTTGGTGGACAATTTACTTTCCCCTAAAAAAACTTTAATCCCTAAATCTTAGCATGAGATCAAGTTTAGTACTCTCACCACACAAGCAAACTACTTTTCATCTGAACTTTGCTTCTTGACTGCAATGTGTTATGAGATTAACAATTCTTAGCTTACTTCATTTTTTCGACCGTATCAAATTGTCTGCACGATGTTCTTAACTAAATTGGATTTTGGATGTTTAATGTCTTGGCAGGCACTTTTAGCAGCTAGGAACTCCAGTGCTGTTATTTTTATTGGGACTTTTGGCGCACTTGCGTATGTTATTCTGTTTATGCTGTTTATGCTTGGTGATTTAATTGACCTCAATGAGTGTGAGACAAGTGCACTGCGATTGGGGGTTAGTCTCCTATAGATTGAGAAATAGCAAGAAGACAATTTTTAACCAGTGATGTCAGTGTCAACACAGTTTCCCTTATGTTTTGCTAATTGCACCTTTGAAATTGTTAGTGATGCATAGCAGTCCCAGTCTTGCGAACTTAAGAGCACATAACACATAGGCATTCCTTTTTGAAGAGTATATTGCCGTTATTCTAATAAAACCAACATGAAATAGTTATATTAAAAATATCAGATCAACTACTTCGAGAGATGTTTATACAATCAACTAAGGGACTAATGATTGTACATTTGGTGCAGAAATATTTTGAAATATAATTTATTTCCTTGACCCACCTGTGTCTGTGTATGATGGGCAGGATAATGACAATCATATCGGTTGTTCTAGGACGAACTTTTCATTATGTTGATGATATCCTTCCATTCAGGTACTGTACTTAATAGATTCTGTCAATTTTTTATTTACGATGTTCTAGTAAATCATCAAACATGTGGGTAAATTACAGGCATCATCTTATTTGTCCTGCCCATGATATCTGTAGCATAAAAGACAAGTAATCTGCTGCTCATTGTCATCCGTCCAATTTTCCAACACCAGTGAAAATATTTTATATACTTCCAGAAGAATAGGATATGATTGCATGATTTTGCATCGGAAGACCATCCTGTGGTCTTTACCGATTCCTGCATATTATACTGAAAAAATAAGAGTAGTCATCCTTGCTCTCTATTCTAACTAGAAGATGAGTCAATTGATTAATCAAGCATTGTCCTAATACAGTTTTCTGAATGGCAGATTTGGTGACCATGATTTACCTGTTGATGATATTGCTGCAGTTTGCCTTCTGGTAACTGACAGCAACACCATAAAAGAATATAATATTTCATTACGTTGTTCAATTCCAAACTTTAAAGCAACACCGTGAATATAATATTGTTGTGAACTGGTAGCAACAATAAAGGCACAGAAAGGCGTTTTGTTATAAATTCTCTCTCTTGATTCCTTGTTTGACTAATGTGAATAAGATTCATATACCATAAGCTAACATCTTGATAGCTCTTGATTCTTTGGCAAATCTGGATATATTTTGATGGTGAAGAAGGGAGGCATTTCTTTTTTCTTTTTTATTTTTTTGACATTTCTGATGAACACAAACATAGGTGAATTACATTCTATAGGTTGATTGTCCAAAATATTTCTATTTGTCTTCTTTTAAATCCTGCACTAGATCATCATAGAAGCTTGTTGATTTTCCTTCTGTGGACTATCATTTAAATATTATTTGGGGTAAAATGTGAATGTGTGTAGACGTCCCCGAACGCCTCGGGAGGGATGACTCCCGTTTCGTTCGATATTGGACTCACTACAGCTCATGACTCTCAAATTGTCACGGTTCTTAATCTGAACCAAAGAGTCCAAATCCGGCAAATCGTTTTGAGAAACAGATTTTTGAAAAAGAAGTGCCAAACATAGACTGCTTTGCCAGATACAGAGTCGCCACCTAACTATTTTATTTTGAAAAATTTAGGAAACCCTGACTCGTTGCCTAAGGCCACGTGTCCGTCATCACCAAAGTTGCCTCGGCTCGGGAACTTGGGTACGATTAGGGAAGGTCACTTCGTGAGCACCCCCGCTCGCCCGATCAAAGATCGGCCTCTACTAACCATGATATCGAGTTTTGAAAACATTATGCATTCTTATTCCGGTTGTTAGCCTAGATTTACTACGTTATGCACACAGCAAACAAGTATAGACTAGATCGCCTAATTCAGAATAAAGCATTGCGCATCCGTTTGTTTGGAAATGGTTTGAAGTTTACTACTCGCGAGTAGGCTAAAACACGGGTTCCAATGGATTGTTCCAATTCAAGCAATCCAACCTTCACCCACAGGCATTCAGGCAGTTATATCACATAAGCATATAGCCTCATGGTAAGCATGCTATTCATGGCAGTCACTCACACGCATGCAAGGATGCTAAAGCATAAAACTTACCGAGTACTCCAAGCCAAAACAAAAAATATCACAATTACATTTCAGAAAGATGGACGTTCATTCATGCTTCATAAGATAGCAATTCAGAACAGATCATATCACATTAGTCAGAAATAGTTATAATTGAATATAACTTTACAGAGTTATTACTCAAAGATAACAGAAGCTTCCCAAGCTAGCAGACTGAGCAAACAATCAAACGTTCGACTGTGCGTGTCCTACATAGGTACAGAATAAACACGTGCTCAATTACACACTTGAAGGCTCTAACTTGATTCTTTCTCACTTTCTTATTTTAGTGTGTTCTTGTTCCTTATTCTCATTATGATGTCATAATCTTGCCCTAGGAATGCCTAGGATGGAAAGGGGCAGATCTCCATGATAATTAAGTTGGCCGGAGTGTCCTGGGTGAAAGTCCTGAAATTATACATGGGTCCCATTTGATGGCAGCCCGCGGATGAAATTTCCGTAAAATAATTGTAGTGCTTGTATAAAATCATTGAGTTGTAGTCTCATTTGAGGTATAGATGAAAGTAAGAAAGTGATCCATGTAATGGAAAGAGAGAAGAAATTGGTATCTCATGACTCTAAACTGCTGTATCTCCTTTGATGTTAATTGTGTATGTGTAAGTGGATTTATATCTTTGCTAAGATACATATACTGTGTTAGATCTTCTCTACTGGGCTGTGGCTCACCCTATTTGGGAATAACAATTTCAGGTAACGATGGCATGCCTCCACCAAGGCAATAGCATGGGAGGAGCCTTTTGGGAAACACGGGCTTCATAGTCTGTTTTGTGTATTTTGTAAAGCCTAGGGCTTAAGGTGTATAAATTTGTCTTTTGTGTAACCAAGTTGAGACTTGGAAAGATGTAAGCCCGTAGGGCATTTCCTTGTAAACTTTAACGATATTATATGCTGTAGATTCAGGATGAATGTTTATGAATGTATGATGCATGTCTTACCCATCTGTAATACCATCTCAAATGAATGGAATATATGTATTGATATCTTCTTTCATACTTTTGTAAGATCGGTCTTTAGATGTATATTTCGAGGGCGTTACAACTTGGTATCAGAGCGTACCGCGTTTGAATACTTTGGGTACGTGGGGAGTGGTTAGTACCACAATGGGTTTGTGTCGCTTGACTGGGACGTTAATATGAATTGTATGCTTATGTGATAACATGTTTATGTGATTAATTCGGTATGGGATTGAATTTCTAGGATGTCGATTGGGTCTACGGGTTTCTAGGAGTCCGATTGGAAAGGCACTTGATCACTGCCATTTCGAATTGGAACTCTAGCAACACCGCGGGATGGTCATTGTCTAGAAAAGGAAATTCCTATATGCTTATGTGACTATGTGTCTACATGGGCTAATTTACCGTTGTGCATTGTTTTAGGACGTGAGTGAGTTAGCCTTGGCACATTTGTAAATGTGCTATTCTTTTGTTACCTTTATTAGGATGTTAGGACGTGAACG